AAGCAAAGTTGAAACATGCCTATGATTTTTCTGAGGGACCTCATGGCAAGCCAGAACAGAAAACAAAATTAATGCATACTGATCTGTTCCAATTTCATCTGAAAATTTAAAATAAAAAGCAAATGCCATACCCCCTTCCCCAAAAGTAATTTTAGGATTGCTGTGAAAGAAAAAAAATAGAGCCAATGCTTCTGCTTCAAGATTTTTAGAAGTAAAACAGCTGGGGCCACCAACACCAGCGCTGTTTTTCTAGCAGTCTGAAATAACAGTATGTAAAAATACTGTTTGTCCACAAAATTATTTCACACATCTCCTTTAAAAATCACCGTGCTTTTTCAAAAAAGTATGAATTTAAATGTATTCTCTCCCACGTAATAAAACATGATTTTTCTACAAGAAGTGTCATATACGAGCTGATCTAATAGTTCAAGACAACTGGAACGTACCTTTAACATAACTGTTCCCATCATGCTGGAAACAGGGGCTGGAAGGACACAGTAGCCCTTTCATTCAAAGGACTGTTCCCACCAAGACTGATTACAGTATTTTCAGTAAGAAGATTTTTTTACTCAGAATTCTGTTTCGATAATTGGGTCAAAAAGTGTATCTGGAGCCCAACAACATTAATATATCAATTAATGACCGCACGCAACCATTTAGCATTCATAAGCTCATCAGCCGGTCCCTCCGACCCACATCTCGAGCCTGGCTTGCACTGCACCAAAGCGGCCTCAAGACAAAGCGGGGGACTAGCAGCTGGGGCACCGAAAGGGTTAAAATCCCATGTCAAACAGCAAGTCCTGGCTCCAGACCAGAAGGGACATGGGAACCAGGGCAGCTGAGTTATAAAGGCCTTATTGTAGCAGCCCACTGGATTGGAAATGACTTGTAGGCCTAATGAAACAAAACTTTGGCAGTAAAACAGAATGAAAGGAATGAGACAATAAAAGAGAGGAACAAAGGGAGCAGAGTTGTTTCAGCTTAGGAAAATAAGCTCACTTTGTTGTTGGGAAAAGCCAAAGCCGATTAGGATAAACCAATGACTAGGCATAAGTCTTCCAAACTAATTACACAGTTCGCCATGTGAAGTATAATTGCAAGTCGCAAAATAAGGACTACACTACTTTCACAGGAGCTCTATAAAGGGAGCATTACCTAGTAAAAAACGAACCCTAAGAAGTCCCTTATCATCAGCTGCTTGCAGCTTAAAAGGTGCAGAACATGCACGTCCAGAGAGAAGTGCAATTCATTAGCGTTCGGGAGCTTTCTTCTGCTGGTCACAGTCCTCCAGGTGAGGCTTTAAGAGGCTGTTGCTTTTTTTTTTCCTTTTTTAAATTATACCAGAAGCCTTAAATGCTCCAACATGTCCTGATCTCAGAGAGCACCATTTTGCTTACACTTTCAGAAACCAATAAAACAGGTAGATCCACAGCCACAGCCCTGCTGATGGCTCAGGGCACTTGTGGCCTCTCCAGAGGGGAGGAAAGCGCAGCCCCACCGCGCTTCCCTTTGGATCGCCTCACTTCTAACACCTTCTCATTTAAATTCTTTTAAAACTTGGTCTTAACAGCCAGCTTTTCACACGTCAGTACAAGGGCAATGCTGCAGACCCTGGATGGGTTAACACAGCCAGTGAATTTATTTTGTTTGCAAGAATGTTTGAAACATCTTTGACTGAAATAACAGAGGATCACAGAAACAACTGCATTAGACTATCAGGATTAGGTAGTAAGACAATGGATTTTTTTTTTTTTCTCTTCTTCTTCTGATTGTAAATAGTTATGGCTTAGTTTGGAGTTTTGTTTTCCCGGCTTAGCCTCCTCACGTCCTCCTGTGGATCCTGCTCCCTGAAACCACTGGAAGGAGAAGCCTCAACCCCAAACTCTCGCCCAGATATGCCTCCCGCCGGCTGCCAGCCTTGGGCCTGCGCCGCCCTTATCGGAGGCGCTGGGCTGTGCTCCCCGCCCGTCTGCACCACGAGCCGTGCCGGGCTGCGTCCCACCAGGGCCTACGGGCGCCGCAGCCAGCCCCCCTCCTCGGCACCCAGACCCCCGTCCTCGCCTCTCTGGGGAGCCCCACAACGACTGTATGTGCACAGGTTCAGCATCACAAGCTCTAAGCATGCAGCAGTCACGAGCCTGTTAATTACACTGCTTCGTGCTCGTTCTGTTAAGCCTTTTTGGCTTCACTCAGGTAATTTTTCCCAGTCTTCCTCCACAGCTTACAGCAGCTAGGGATGCCCGTCTTCACAAAATGAAAGCTGGGACTCCTATAGATCCTAGGCTTTACAGAAAGAGAAAATAGTCGCTATCAGAAATTTCACGATCAAAGTCTCAGGGGTTATCATTACCACATATTTTGGTGCTCAAACGGGCAGGCATATTCACTGGTAAAGTCTGGGAAGACTGCTTATTAAAGCAGTTTTCTTTTTATTGCAGAAAAAGGTTCCAGCATTTACTTTTCAAAAAGCTGCAGTTTCAAATTCAACACTTTAGGTGCTTTCCTGCCAACTCCAGTTAAAGGAGTGAGTCCGCCTAGCCCCAAAGCTGGTAGCTGTTCTAACCACATCGTGTATTTTGAGAGCTACCTCCAGTTACCAAAACAACCTCCCCTGGCTGCAAAGCTCTTCTCTGCAGCAAGTACAAACAGGATTTCAAGAATCACAGCAGTAGGTAAGCCATTTTTTCCACACCAATAAATAAGCTCAGCACTTCAAAGAGCAAGTCACCTGAGATGCTCTTATCAAACATGGGCGGCTCCTGTACACATTAATTATGTAATGCAATTTTCTTTATTTTTTAAGAAAGCACTAAGCAAATGCAAACCTTGCCAATCGATCATGATGCATTGTTTGCACTGTAATGGCTTGACTGGAGAGCGAGGCTCGTGTGCTAAGCAGTGCATAGATGCATCACCAGCCCCTGCCACTAAGAGCTTGCAACCTGAGCAAGCAAGTCAAGGAAAGGTGGGGAAGCGGAATGGAGAAGGAAGCAGCTCCTACAAGGTGCCACAAGGCCAATCCCGGGTCATTATATCCGAATGCAACATCCCAACCACTGCAGCATATTAGCAAGTCTTCCAGTTTAGCTGGACCACAAGTCCGCATTTCCTAGGGTCATTAACTAGCTCTGCATCTTCTCACAACCAGAGCCTTGGGGAGAATCACCTCAAAACACCCCAAAAACCAAACCGTCTCAGCTGATAAACAGCAAAGTGCAGTACAGAGAACTTGAATGCCTGTGCGCGAGGTCAAGTCACGGTGACACAGCCAAGAAGCCTTTCCTCCAAAACATCACCGGCTTCACCAAACTCATCTCCTTTTCACAAGCTAGAATAGGGAAGCGTGAAACAGGGATGCAACTGGAAAAGGTCAGCCGGTAGCACAGGGGCCGAGCCCTGTGAGCCCGAGTCCTACAGGAGCTGAGCTCCAATGACTGGACCACGCAGCCTCAGCAGGACATACCGCAGCTCTACTGCCAGAGGAAGGGGTTCCGGCTTCGACCGCAACTTGTGCAATTATTTTCAGTGCCTTAATTTTTTAGCCTTCAAATTAAGACACTTGAAAAAAAATTTGATTTTCCAAAAGTATTGCCTTTGGAAAGCCAGACCTCTTTTAAGCTATCTCGAGAAAGGCAAAGCACGAAAGCAGGACTGAAGTGTCCCGAATCACTAGTCACTACTGGAAAACGCAGCCTAGTTGTCTACATTCTCGGGGACTGTAAAATTGCAAGCATGAAACTACCAGATGGCGAAATTTAAAAGACTATATTAAGACAGCATCCAGACAATATGCAAAGCACTTACACTGAAACTATTATTAACTTCAAAAATACAGGTTAGAGGAGTTCTGCAATTAGAAGTAACTACAGAAGAAAGATCCAAAAGCTCATGTAATCCTTTAATAAAAGGCTCAGCAGGCTGTAAACATCCTGCCGGAATCGAAGATTATTATTGAAAATAAAATGAAAGGTTTGCAAAACAACTATCAATCCAGCACAGGAACAATTTATAAACTCCCCTCCTCAGCCCTCAATAAATACTGCCTGGCCAAGGCTTTTCAGGGCAGATAAAAGAAACATAAACTAACTACAAGGAATGGGAACTGCTTTGCTTTGGGACATCCTGCTGTGTCCTTACGCAATCAGGCATCTAAATCATCAATTGATCCACTCCAAAAGACAGGAATTGAGCTGTATGGAGCCCCACGGACCATAGGGCTGACAGGAGTCTCCAGGGAAGGTGGTACCATAAACTGCCTTCAAAGCAGACGGCTCTGCAAGCTCTTCACCTTGTCGGACTCCTGACCAAGCACCCAGAAGCCCTGGGGATCCAGGAAGCTCCAGGGAAGTCAGTGGCGCTAAGCTCCAGACAGAGCCTGGACTGTGGGGTTTGAGCTGTCCCATCACTGAAAAGACTATTCTGGCAAGGTTCAGGTTTCCTTCCTTGCGAAAACTTTTTTTTTTTTTTTAAATCATGTCAGGATTCTACATATATTTCCAAAGCAACTTGCATAAGGATTTTTTAATAAGAAATTAAATGGATATTCTAGTGACTTCCATATTACTTTTGCTATTCACGTGGTTCCTTCAGGCATTTTCACAACTTAATGAGCTCTCTCAAATACATCTATCTGCTCCTTTCGCCACTGGAACCAGGGGTAAACAGAGGGCTGATTTTATGGAGTAGACAACTGTGTAATCATTCAGCTAAGGGTCAAATTCTTCCTGAACATAAACAAATTCACCTCCCAATGATTCTTTTTTCTTTAAAGAAGGTAAACAGTGTTGGCAGTGTTGTATACATACACATGCAACAAACAGAAAAGGAATTCCAGAAGCGATTCCAGAGGCTTCGAGAAATTACACTGAAAGGCAAAAAACGTGGCCCTCCTTTGAGCATAGGCCTCACTGCACTTCTGTTTTTCAAAACACACTTTAAAAAGAAAGGGGGAGAAAAAGAAGAATTCAAAATATGTAGTGCTCACTTGGGCAGGAACTTACCTTGCCAAACTGTTCAAAGTATTGCTTTACGTCTTCCACTACTGTATTAGCCGATAATCCACCTACAAATATTTTCTTTGTTCTTGTGACCATCTGTAAGAAATTACAAGACAAGCATACGGTTTAACCAGATTATTTCAAACAATATGTGGAAAAAAGAAATATTCTTCAGATGCCATCCCTAACCCAGTTAATGAGAATATTTCTGTACAAAAGCAATTCAGATTCTATTTGATTAGATACTTCTTTTTTTCTTTGTCTTGTTTTGGTTTTATTTGAGAAATGGCTGAGTAAAGGCACTCAATAACAACTCTAGCCCCCGGATATTTTTTTTTAATAAATGATTTTTATTGTGCTTCTCAATGCAAATATAAGTGAAAGAGGAGTCCAAGTGTCATATCCTCATAGCTACTGTCTCAAAAAGACGTGCCATTTCCCCCGCTTTTTCCCTAAAGACAGAGTGCATGCTCTTTGGCAGACAAAAGGTAATTATATCAAATCAAAGCGATGTGTTATTAAGTTTCCATGGGTCAGTTTAAAAGGAACTTGCACAGTCACTTAAAAAATAATCAAATGACGAAAGATAGCAAGAGCCACCGGTGCAGTCCTCTAGCTGCCACAAACCATGTTTCAGCTGAAACGCTCACAGTATCGCCATCCATCAGGGGCTGGATCAGGCCCTTCAGAAACCCCTTCGTGTTCCCCAAGACCACAACTGAGCACCCAGCTCTTCTTCCTGACCCACAGGCCCCCCAAGTTTGGTCCATACAAGGTGACGGGATGATGCTGGATTCCCTACAGAGAGCGTACTATCAGATAACCCATTATCCACAACCCGTAACCCTTTAAGACAGGCAGGATCCAGCCCAGGGACCCAAACCCCAGCGGTGGCAGGGGAAGCTGGTGTCTTTGGTGGGCCGATCCCAAACCACTTGAGCTTTGTGGGCCACCTTAAATCAAGGCTGATTCAGGACAACGTTGTCAGCACACTCCAGAGGGGCAGGCATCATCCCGTATGCTTGGACGTAGGGGAAACGCCCCAGCTCACAGCAGGCAATGCCCTTACCACTAGAGACAGCAACTCATCAGCAGCCTACACCACCATACAGAGATGTTTTAAAGTCAGCGTCGCATGTTAACTCAAGAAACCAACAAACATGTCAATAAGAAATGCATGCATTTAAATACGCTTGAGCTTGTTTTCTGTATGACAGAAATTGGACGAAGCAGCCCACTTACAACAGCAAGGGAAAAAACGCCCCGTAACTCCAGGACTCGCTTGGTTAAACAACGGCCGGCAAATGCTGAAGCAATGCAAAGGGAGCAACACTGGGCATTTGGCCGGAGACAACTGCTGTGCAGCTGCTCAGTGCAGAGCCTAGATTGTTCTCACTTTTTTATTTTTTTACTAAAGACAGGATACATTTTACGATAGCTACTGAAGGTCGCAAGGTGCAGCCCAGCACCTTTTCTCTGCGCCGAGGTGCTGGGGGCTGCCTCGAGGGTCACCACGCTCCTGCGGCAGTATGGCAACCCCATCACACCACAGGCTCCCACGTGGCTCTGCCCCCACACCACGAGACCCCGTTCCGCACATCAGACCCACTGAGAGCAATGGTGCTCCCCAAACTGGCGCCGGCCCAGCTGGGGTTTGCCACACGAGTGGAACTGCGGTGACAAGCTGTGCTGCGTGGCTGCAGGCAAAGCTTTCGCAAAACTGAGACACCGAACAAAAAGCTTGGAGTAGCCCCAAATTCTCTCAGTGCAGAACAAATTAAACATCACTCTCGTCTCCACTGCCATTCAAATTAACCAGGGTAGATATTTCCCTCAATCGGCCCCTAACCATGCTTTACAGAGCTTCATTATTTTTTTTTTTAAGTTAGGAAGAGAGGGAAAAAAAAAAAACCACAGTGTAAAAATTCAATTATTTTTTCCTGGCTGCAATCTAGGACTCTGAAATTGAAGCCCAAGCATACATTTTTCTGTAGAAAATTGTCATTTACAAATAAAGAATTGGCTAAAGCCGACTTGTAACTAAAGGATTTTGCAGGGCTGTCAAGAGCCCTCTGCCTGCCAGCATCTGATTTAAGATCAGGCCAAGCTTCTGTTGTCATACAAAAGAGGGAGGAAAGCAATTATTCTAAAGCAATATTTGAAATTATCATCATTTTTATATTTGACCAAGAAAGAAAGAAAGAAAAAGAGAGCTACTTCTTTTAGAAGCAAGATTGAAGGTTAAAGAAAAAGGCTACTTTATTTCAATAGCTTCAGTCAAAGAAAATATTGGTAATGACAAGCAAATTCACAACATTTTAATGCCTAGAGATATGTTGCGAGCTGGGAAATGGTTTCAGAAATCATCTCTTTAGTACAAAAGTGAAGGACAAAATTAAGTCTGCTTTTACAATCTACGTTTTCCTGAAGAGACGGTTCAATTGCTTTGTTATACATACTCCCCGCAGCAAAAAAACAGAAGTAATGTGTAGCCTTAGCAATTCCTCCTATCCTGATGCGCCTCAACAGGAGGTTTCGTTGCCTTCCCTTCATCCGTGGCACAAGGTACCAGTGTGCCCCCAGACTCGCCACGGGCTGAGCCAGGAGTCTCTTCCTCACCCCTGTCTCCCACGACGCAACGACCACCAGCAGCCCAGGAGACGGGGTCATGACAGAGGTGCAGGTTTGGAAACCAGCCTTTTCCCCATAAAGATCTGGATGTGCGCAGCGGTGGTGAACGGATGAAGGCCGTTCACCGTGGTGCCACGACAGGCTCCCGCAGCCGGCAATGAGGCCAGCACAGCGCCCAGCTCGGATTCAGCCCGGGGCGCCTAGGAGAACCCCAGCAGATGAGAAGAGTTGCCGTTTGTGCTGGAAGCACCCATTTCTTTCTCAAACATTAACGCCAGGTAAACTGCTGTACGCAGTTGACTTGTCTATGCTGGTACAGCCTCACCAATTTTCAATTATTAGATAACTGTGGTGGGACTCAGACCAACTGGAAACAAAGCCTCCAACTCCTGCTCTAACCTGCAAATCCTCTCTCATTAGCTAAGCAGACGAGTTATGAGGCAAGGCTTCATCAGGGTAAAAACTGCAGAGCACTGTGGTCCTGCGCGGCACGGGGCTCCCAGGCTCCCATGGAGCGGAGCTTTGCAGCAGGCCCGCAGCCCAGAGACTCAGAGCCCAGACTATTAGCCCAACAGCTAACAGCCAAAGGTTTGCAAATGTGTTAGCCAAACATGATGGAGCATAAAAAAAATAAAAGTATTCACTAACTCAGGGATTTTACTACACCAAGGACACCTTCTGTGTAGATCAGCCACTGAATCATCAATAAAAAAAGATTTTAAAGCACATCAAATCGCCAGGACCAGGCACATTCATGCCCAAGTTCTGAGAAAACTGACGCTAACTAGAAAGTCCCAAAAACTCTCATTGCTAATGGCTCTGAGGGCACAGGAGGAGATCACCTTATTTCTCACTAAGTACCCTCAAGCAGGAGACAGGGCACTGGCACCAATGGGCTTCTGGTTCATCCCAGTGAGTGATGTTCTTACTATCTGATATGATATTCTTCACCATCACCTCCCCAGATCTGTGCTTGTTTCAGGGAGGAGAAACAAAAGGTTAAAAAATATTTCATGAAGTACGCTTAGTGCTGTTTAGTAAATGTTAAAGATGACAAATGATCAGAGGCACAAGGAACTGAGCCAACTGAAGAGTTCCTCTTTTAAAAATTAAAGTTGTTTTTTTTTAATCAAAATTTCTCATTTGGCTCAGAAAATAAATCAGAATATCTTTAACAAAAAAAAAATCTACAATTTTATAAAAACATTTATGTATATATGGAAGAAAAACACTCATTATAATTTTTTTTTTTTAATTATAACAAAAAGCCCAAAACCTAAGAGTCCCCAGCCTGAAGTGCCTCCAGCAAAAGTCACTGAGGATCTTTATCTTTTACCGCGAGTAAATTTAGAATCTGCTTTCTGGAGGTTGCTTATAACAGGGCCGCTCCCGCAAACAGCAAAAGGGAGTCGCCTGTAGTGATTTTGGGTTCCATCCCTCAGACAGCAGCTCCATCTGCTCTTTGCCTGGGGTGGGAACGGCAGGGTTTGGGTAATAGGAAGTGATCTGTGTGAATCAATCACAAATCCGTGTTTTATGAATGACTCCAAGAGGTCTAGGTCACTCAGAAACCACAATACTTCCAGCTTCATGTCTTTGTTTCTAATTCGCAGTATAATATATCCATCATTCACTATTGCAGGGCTCTGCAAAATGTAGATACTAAACGTTTTTGGAGCTTTTGTATACTGAAGGTGTCTCTCTCTCTTGCTGCAGAAGGAATCGACAGGGAAGAGTTAGATCTAAGGTTATAAAGTCTGTTAATTGTAAGTACCTGCAGAATTGCTTTGTTTGTATACTGTTAGTGTTGCAGTTAATCAAAACACATGTGACTACTCCTGCAAAAAGAGTCATTCAAGGTTACAATCTCTTTACTGGCTTGGCTTTTGAAAAATATATTCGTCTTTGTGTTCTGAAACTGAGCAAACACTTCAGGTGGTGCAGAAGCAGGAAAAAAAACACCCTACTTCAGCAAGACAAGTCTTCTGATTTTAAGCCATTTTTTGCAAGGTTAAGGTTGTAATTAGATCGGTTTGGGGCATATCAGGTAAATCTTCTCTAAACAACAGGCTGAAGATGCAGTCTCTGGAAACAAAAATCCTGTCCCACTCAAACACGTCAATACACTACGTGGGCTAAAACCAACTGACTCAGGTAAAATGAAGGAACTGCTGTTTTGCGAAGTTAGAGCCTCCAGTTCAGTGTCCGGTGATATCCTTGCATACTCATGTATGAACTCTGTTCTCGTTTTCTTGGTGGTTTTTTTTTTCCCCCACTGAAACTGTCTTATTATCATGACTATTAAAAATTAATAAAGGGGATTTTAAGCTCATGAAACACTTTGCAGAATTCTTAGAATTTCAAGATCTCAAGCAACAAGTATCCGCTACTCTTTTCAGATGAGCCAAAGCCCAGTCTATGTTTAACACAGGAGTTACATATTTGACTTCAGGGTAATGGTTTTA